GAAATTAAAATGAAGTTTTGTACTGATGATGAATCTGTAAATTAATACTATCAGTTAAATTCAAACTGGTTGACTAATCAATTCCTGTAATTACAAGTTTTTCCTTCTGACCTTAACAATTAATTTCTATTTTCTCAGTTAGTTCTTTGTCTTAAGGGAAGTTAATGGGTGAGAAAACAAATAATGCAGATATGCCATCCCACTGGAGAGCTCTAGGCCCAAGCAAAACTGCCTCTGTGGTGTTAGGACATTAGTAGAAAAGTAAATCAAGGCAATCTGATAGGGAACTAGAATTCTGTCAATCAGGCTCAAGATTTTGTGCTGTGTCCATAAACTTTGTTTACTGTAGGGTTTTATGAGTTGTAACCTGCCCTTGCAGTCTGTTAATGAGGCTAAATCTTGCTACTTGAGAATTGAATTACAGCACACCTCTGGGCTAATGGTTATAAACAGAAAGTCCCATTAGGGCAGCATTCTGATTTGTTCATTTGCATTTTTTTCTATTGTGTAGAGAACAATGACGGGTAAATAGGTACAAACAAACAATTTACATGGAAATTGATAAAGTGTCCCTAATTAGTATTTAGAGTTGGTTTTATTAATGATTGCCGGCTTTAAATTACACTTCTGGTAAGCTTGCAGAAACATTTACAGATAGGTGTATTATTGGGGGCAAAGAGGATGTGGTAGAAAAAAATTAGGTTCTCATTTCATATTCAGAAAGGTAGAATCATTTATTTCATTTTAACTCAGTTAAGATGACCCAAGATCACTTCATCTTAGTCTGAATCACCAAATTCCAGCTCTGCAAGAAATTATTCACGCAGTGAAATTCACTTAAACCTATTTGCCTGAGGCATATCAAATAATGGTTTTTATTATGTTCTTAAATTTTCTTAAGTTTGAAAGATGAAAGTTTAGTAAAAGCTCAGTTTTCCTCAGTTGGTCTTGTAATTTGACACTTTTGGGATCAAATCTTTTGCTGGTTAAGAGCAAGGGCTCTGGAGTCAAACAGACCTGGGCTCTAACATCAGTTCGGTTCTAGTTGACCTTGGAATTTTAAATGTTCTCATTAGTAAAAATTATTAAAAAATATTATTATCATAGCTGGTACTGTTAGGTAGAACTTTCATTGACTGGAACAACTTAGTTATCACAAAATTCAGTTTCTATTGGAAAGAAAATAATTGCTTGATTTTTTTCCCCTCTAATTGTTGATTTTCATGAGTTATTTTAAAAGCTCCCTCAAATGAGCTCATATATTCATCTAAGGATTTTTATGAGTATCATAATGAATTGATGAATTTTCATTGCTACAATGTGATTTCATTGATTCAATAATTGAAGTCTTTTTAAAAAAAAATATTATTTACTATGCATATAAGAACTGGGGTGTAGGCCAGAGGTATGGGGGGGGTGAGAGGATTCACCAGAGAGTGGGGAGCAGAACAGGCAGATCTGCTGATACACACTGCTGAGGGGAGCAGCGGGCGAGACAGGAGAGGTCTGCTGCCCAATGTGGGTTGCTCCCTGGCTGGCTGGCCTGGGGATTGAACTTGTGCTGCCGTGGCTGGTGATAGCTTGTGTCTTTAACCGCTCCGCCACCAGGGAGGCCCTGAAGTCTTCATTTTGATACTAAAATTGTTTCAGTTTGTCTCCTAGGAGCTTCAAACTTGGGACCAGATATTTCAAGCTTGTCTCTGTATCTATTCATATATTCCTGTTAATTTTGACAGCTCTCATTTCTAGCCATCTCAGAATTTACGAACAACCAATCTAGTGTCTATACCTGTTCCTGATGATCTCGCCAACCAACTCTGAGTGCCCTTTTCTAAAGTTCAGATTCATTAACCTTAGCATTTACTACAGTTGTCTACTTCCTTTTTCATGAAAGCCACTTCTACTTTGGTTCTCAGGATACATCAATGCTATAGTTTTTTATTCTCAGCTCATCTGGTTTTCGCTCTCATCTAAATATAGGTGTGTCAGTGAGTAACCTTTTTTTCTGTAGTAGTATCTTCCAATAATTTCATGTATTCCTGTAACTTAGCCCTGTAGTCATATGGTGACTTTACATTATTCAAATCCCACCAACTACCTACTAATATATTTACTCAGATGTCCTGCCAGTCCCTCAAACCCTGTGTGTCTTACCCCAAACTTCCTTTCCTTCCCTTCTTATATCTTTCCTCTTGGTTTTCTATTTTTATTTTAGTGCCACAGTTCTACTAATTGCCCATGTTTAAAACTTATGAGTCAGGGCCTCCCCTGGTGGCGCAGCGGTTGAGCGCTGGGTTGCAAAGCTGCTCGCAGCCTCTGCAGCGCCGGTTCGATCCCCGGCCACTGGCGAGGGTCCCACATGGCGCGCAGACCTCTCCTGCCACCCGCTGCTCCCCTCAGCAGTGTACTTCATCGGTCTGCCTGTTCTGTTCCCTGCTCTGGCTCTGGTGAATTCTCTCAACCTCCTGCGCTTCTGACTGTACCCTGGTTCATGTATAAATAAATAAATAAATCTTTAATAAATAAATAAATAAAATAAAACTTCTGAGTCAGCTTTTTTCTTCCTTCCACATATAACCAATTACCATGAATTGGTGCAGGTACAAATTCTGTCTATAAAATATTTCTTAAGCTTGAATCTTTCCATTTCCATTGCCCCCATCCTGGTTCTAGATTTCATCACAGCTTTCCTGGACTATTTATTATAAGAGCCTCCTAACTTTGCAATGTCTCTGTGCTAGCCTATTTTAAACACTGTTGTCAGATTAATCTTTCTCAAATATACCTCTGGTTGGTCATTCCCCTAAACAAAAAGTAAAAAAACACACACAAACATACACACATACAAACCTTTGGTTGGCTCTTCCTGTATTTCTTTAAAATAAAGTGTTTAAAGTAAAGTACTTTGTTGGACAGGACCTTTGTAATCTGTCTACCAAGCTTTATTTTTCTGCCTTGTCTTTCTATCATTATTTTTGTCCTATGCTCAGGAAAACTAGATAAGGTACCTTACTCTCAGTATATGGATTTGCCTTTATATCTTTGTACTGTTCTACTTCCTGGTCTCAAGTTCACTGAGTCACTCCCATATCTACCCATTTCACATCCTGCTTATCCTTCAGGCCCAGCTCAAAACCATGATGCCATCATGCCTTCAGTTTGTCCCAGAGCCAAGAACATTCTTTCTTCTGAATTCTTGCTACATTTTTATCAGACCTCCTTATTGTGGCAATTTTTTATTTCCCTCTATATTGTAAGCTTTAAAGAGTATAAACTTTTAGTTTTCAAGTTTGAAATTTCTGTAACAAATACTAAGTTCCAAGGTATGTACTATGGACCAGAGAAACAAGATAAATCAGATAAAGCTCCTGCTTTCAAGTAGCTCAATTCTACCGAGAAGTTGGTATTTTGAGAGCTTTATAATGTAACTTGACAAGTATTTTTTAAAAAAGTCATAGACCCACAGTCTTGCCCAAATGGTAAGATAGTGACATAGAGGAAGGAGTACTCCAGCCTGAGAAAGTTTAATGGTTGTCAACTCAATCTTAAAGAAAATGTAGGAATTAAATAAGATCAGAATGAGAGAACATTCCAGGAAGAGTAAATGACGTATTTAAACCCACAGGTGCATGAAACTACATTATACAAATAATTCTGTGTAGATAGATGTGAGGTTTTATGGAGGTTGGGAGAGGTTAAAGGAAGATAACTCTAAAGATATGTTGGGGCCAGATTATTTCAGGCTTTCTTTTGTCACAGTAATGCCTTATTTTTTATACTTTCCAATTTACAAAACAATTTCACAATGATATTTGCAATCACTAATAATATTTTTTAGTAGATCAAAACTATTTGTTGTATAATTCTCTGTGGTTTATAGTTTTGTTTTTTTTTTTTTTTTTTTTGTGGGACTCTCGCCAGCGGCCAGGAAACAAACCGGCGCTGCAGAGGCTGCAGGCAGCCTCGCAGCCCAGGGCTCAACCACTGAGCCACCAGAGGAGGCCCTTTTTTTTCTTTTTTTCTTTTTTATAGTTTTTTTTTTTTTTTTTTTAAATTTATTTGTACAAGCACAGGGTACAGTCACAAGCATGGGAGGGTGAGAAAATTCACCAGAGCCAGAGCGGGGAGCAGAGCAGGCAGAAGGGCCGAAGTACACTGCTGAGGGGAGCAGCGGGCAGCAGGAGAGGTCTGCGCACCATGTGGGACCCTCCTCCGGTGGCCGGGGAGCAGCCGGGGATTGAACCGGCGCTGCAGAGGCTGCGGGCAGCTTCGCAACCCAGCGCTCAACCACTGCGCCACTCAGGGAGGCCCTCTTTTTGTAGTTATTCTAAATATCAAAAGCCACATTAGATTTTACTTTTCCTTCTCAGTGTACATCTTGGGGGTGGGGCAGGTGTAGTGGGAATGGAACTAGTACATCAGTTACCCATTTCTTTTTTAACAGCAATAACTGTAACTGCAATATACTATCCCTAATTCCTACTTCAATTCTCTAAAAATACTATTTGATCAACATGGCGTAGCAGCATTTTCTGTGCTGTTGAAGATGTGTTGAAGATGTGTGCTCTCTGCCTTTATGAGAAAATAGCAAATTAAAATTCTCTTCTTAAAAAATAAGATGTTAATTTGCAATTGTTTTTAGTATTGTGGCTTTTTTCTAGAAATCTGATTATTAATCATAATTTCTGCTATTTTCTCTCTGTTTATATATAGATATTATAATAACATATTTTCTGCTATATGTAATTTATATTAAAGAACATTTTTTCAAGGCTAGTTCAAATTTTGAAGACATTTGAATATAATAATTTGTGAATTAAAAAAATACGATTCTAAGATGTCTTTTAAAAATGGTGTGACATCCAACTGATATAGAGCATCCTATTTATAATGTGGGCCAAGCACCATGCTGTAAACCAGTTACTATCATGATGATCAGATTGAAAATGAAATTGCATTTCTGTCAATTACTGAGTTGGCAACTGTTCAATATATCTTAGCAGCAAGATGAAGAGCGACGTCGGCAGCTGAGAGAGAGAGCTCGTCAGCTAATAGCAGAAGCTCGATCTGGAGTGAAGATGTCAGAACTTCCCAGCTATGGTGAAATGGCTGCAGAAAAGTTGAAAGAAAGGTCAAAGGCATCTGGAGGTGAGTTAAAGTATCTTGTATCACATTCTACACTCAACCCAGAAATCCGCAATGGACCTTTTGGGACTTTTTATTCTTACTTCAAAATGTTGCATCAAATACATGAAGTTTCTAACCTATTGATATGTTGCCAAAAAAAAAAACTAAACTAAAGGAAGTATAGTAAATCAGAAGATAACAGTTGCTGTTTTCCAAATCAACTTTTCGGCTTAATTTTAACAACTCAAGAAGTACTTTCTCAGAATATGCTTTAGAACAAAACTCATGCTGACTTTGGTTTGTGATACCCCATGATGCCTTTCTAATTGTATTAGTAGTAAATCAAATGCAATCAAATTCTCAACATCTAGAATAAAAGGTCTGCTAGTGGTGAACTTTGACGTGAAAGATTTTTTCACTTTGAACAAGAGATCTTTAGAAAACAGCTTTGACAGTCTTCTGTCATAACCTGCAGTGTGTGAATTTTGATTAAGTTCCACATCCATTTCTTCTTGGTCTACTTATTCAAAGAGGATCTTCTCAATATCTGCAGAGATTATTCTAAGTTTGATGTAGGGACAGAACCAAATATTATTAAAGAGTATCTTAATTTTCTCTCTCAGTGCTCACTTTGGACATTTTTAAAAATGTAGTATATCAAAAGATATTGGGATTTTATTTATTTCAAAGGTTTAGAACCTATTTATCAAAACATGCCAGGTACTTTAGTGAGTTAATGTTAGACTTTACAGAGCTGAAACAATGGTAAGCTATCGATATTTCTAGGTCAATGGTAAATTTCTTCAGCATAAAATGAAACTTGCTGCTATTCCTAATTGATTGCTTATATTAAAAGCTTACTGTTGTAGAAAATTACAATTAATTCCTGTAGCATATAACTGTCCATCCTGACAAATTGAAAGTTGCTTTCCCAATCGACTGGGCATCTTCCCTCTGGTTATCTCAGAATGTTTATATCATAGTTAAATCCTTCATTTTATCTTTTCAACTCCTATCATTCGAAATTTTAATTGAAATTCCTGCACTCTGCTGCAGTTTTATATAATCATTAGTAACTACTCATATTTATATAGTACTAAGATAATTATTTTCATTTGTATATAAGATATTTCTTTGATATCATAAAAACTACTGATTTTCTAAATAATTCTTGAAGTTTTTATCTTCTTGTATTGTCTAATGATAGGAAAACCTAATATTCTTGATCCTCTAGATAGATTTTCCCTAAAGCTACTAATACTACCTTCCTATGGTATCATAAACCAATGTTAGAGACCAGTAATATAGGCTAGAGAGGCATCTGGTGCCTCTCAATTTTCTTTTCTAATGGTAAGCCAATAGCAATACTAAAGTTGTAAATACTGGGAAGGCTAAGAATTTAAAATTTTTAATTAATAGTATAGGATAGGATAGCTATGTAATTGGTCTCTAATCCAACCAACCCTAGTTGAGGTTAAGCTATTACTAGACAAAGTAGAGAGATTTTATCCGTGTTATAACCCAGAGAATGGGTATCTTCCCTATTAGAGAAAATGAAAACTTGATTTTTGCATCATTCAATAGTCAACAAAGTAACTAAGTAAAGAACAAGTAAGGATTGGCTCTGTGGAACTAGCAAAAATATACAAACTAGGATAGGGAAGGCCAGGCGAAATGAAGATTACTTATGAGAACATGGCGTAATGTCTAGACTATACCCTCTATGGGGACTAAAATGACAAGGGACCATTTCTCCCATAGGATCTATTGTATCTTGGATATTGATAGGTGCTTATTCAGAGCTAACATTAACCTATATGAGGTGGAGCAGACCTATTTCCTGTCCTCATTGGCCTGTCTTCATAAAGGTATATTGATCAGACTAGGTCTGTTCTAACTTTAAGTTCTAAGCTGAAGCTATTGAAGCTGGGACTGCATGCAAGAGACCTTTAAAACAATAGCAAGAGTAAAATTAGGTCCTGAAATTGGACCATATATAGATATTTATCTATTGAACAGTGTACTCTCTATGCTAGACCAGGATTCAACAAACTACTAGAAAAGGACCAAAGTAAATAATTTAGGATTTGTAGGTCATTTTGTGTCTGTCTTGACTACTCAATTCTGCCTTTATAGCCTAAATGTAACTGAACTTCTAGGCAATATGCAAATGAATGGGTGTGCCTGTTATTTACCCCTAAAAGTGGTGGACTGTATTTTGCTCTCATGTGGACCATTGCATGGCAAACTAAAAATTCACTTGGGGTCACAGGAGTGTGACCTTATGGAACTAATAAGTCAGGATATAGAATTGACAAATGAGTGTTTATTCTTAGCAATGCCTAGCAGGAGTCATTAGGTCTGAATAAGGAATAGTATGAAAAGAAGAGAAAAAATGGTCTCGATGGAGGATTAGTGTAGGGAGATTTGGGGAAGCAAGTGGTCCTGAGTGACATGAGAGGAATGGTCAAGAGCTAAAATAAGGTGGAAGCTCATCCTAAGGAGTGTGTTGAACATGATTGGTATTCAGACTCACTGCTTGAACCTGCTTGCAATCTTGCTTTTTTTGTATTCTCTGGCAGCAACTAGCCTCAGTGAGGAAGTAAACTTAGTAAATGCGAGGTGAGGTGAAGTGTCTTCAACTTCAAGATATCCAAAAAAAATATATGCAAGATATTTTAGGTCATGTGTGACCATGTTTTCAAGCTATCCACTTATATCCTATCTTAACCAGAAATAGCCTAATTCTGATAAAAGACAGAATCATATCTGAGCAAGGAGCTATAACCTAGCATTTACTTATTTTTTTTAAGGTTTATTTATTTATGCATACAAAACTGGGGTATAGGCCAAAAGTATAGGGGTGAAAGGATTCACCAGAGACAAAGTGGGGAACAGAGCAGGTGGATTGACTGAAATACACTGCTGAGGGGAGCAGCGGTTGAGTCAGGAGAGGTCTGCTGCACCATGTGGGTCACCTCCCTGGCCGGGGATTGAACTCTGCTGCAGTGGCTATGGATAGCTTCATAGTGCTGAGATTTAACTCCTTGCACCACCACAGAGACCCTACTTATCTTCCTTTTGACATAATTTTAGAGCTTATGAGAGAATCAGGTATGTTTTTTCAATTTCTGCATCATTTTGTAGTTATAGACCTATGATCACCTCATTTTAAAGTGCTCGTTCTAAAAATCTCAGGGGTTTATTCTGTTAAATTGATCTTACTTGTCAAGTTCATGTGTTTGAGGACAAAGTTTAGGGTTTCTGTTTTTAGTTGTATGATATTGTAGTCTGATAATAAGACTTGAATTACTATTTCCAGAAAATGATAAGTTTTTGCTTTGGCCAAATGTAAAATTCTTGTTAATGGTCTATGGACACATGCAAGGAAGGCATTTTTCTTACTTTTAGATGAGATATCAAATATTTATTATACATTTTATAACATACTACATGTCATATATATTTTACAAATGTGCATGTGTGTGTATTTATTCTGTAGCTTATTATAGTTTGAGTTAGGTTAGAGTCATTTAATTTTTAAATTGACATTTTACCTCTCTTTGATTTAGATTAAGTAGTGTACTTTATATTGCAGATGAATAAATGAAAATTTTCTTTAAATTTTTCCATGAGAATGTTTGTGTGCCTGTGTTATCTTCATTATTTTTTTTTTAAAGGTCTATTTATTCATACATACGAGAGCCAGGGTGGAGGCCAAAGGTACTGGGGTTGAGGGGATTCACCAGAGACAGAGTGGGGAGGCGGATCTACTGAAATACACTGTTGAGGGGAGCAGCGGGCAAGACAGGAGAGGTCTGCTGCACCATGTGGGTCACCTTCCTGGCCAGGGATTGAACTTGTGCTGCAGTGGCTGCGGAAGCTTCATAGTGCTGTGACTTAACCCCCCACACCACCAAGGAGGCCCACTTCATTATTTTTGCTATGGCAATAGATTTATCTAAATTTGTTGAGCAAAAATAAAATCTTATACGCCTTAAGTAACTTTTACTTCTATTTTTTTCTTAATAATATATTTGTATTGTGTTTTCTACCTTTTGTTTGATTTGTGTAGAAAAATTTTAAAAGTTAGGAGTTTTATAGGGCCCTACAATGAAAGTTTTTTAAAATCATGTTATAAATGAATAATGGGGGCCTCCCTCGTGGCTTAAGGTGTTAAGATGCAGCACTATGATGCTATCCACGGCCACTGCAGCACAAGTTTGATCCCTGGCCAGGGAGCTACCCAAATGGTGCAGCAGACTTCTCCTGTCTCTCGCTGCTCTCCTCAACAGTGTATTTCAGTCAGTCCGCCTGTTCTGCTTCCCACTCTGTCTCTGGTGAACCCTCTCACCAACCCCACCCCCCGCCACACCCACACCTCTGGCCTGTATCCCAGTTCTTATATGCATAAATAAATAACTCTTTTTTTAAATAATGAAATAAATAAATAAATGAATGAATAATTTTTCCTGAGTAGTTTTCTGAATGTTATTTTAGTATAGCTTCTATTTCTTTTCTTTTCTTTTTTTTTTAAGATTTAGTTCTTTATACATACAAGAACTGGGGTAAAGGCCAGAAGGGTCAGGGGTGAGAGGATTCACCAGAGACAGAGTGGAGAACAGAACAGGTGGATTGACTGAAGTACACTGCTGAGAGGAGCAGCGGGCGATGCAGAAGAGGTCTGCTGTGCCATGTGGGCTTCTCCCTGGCTGGGGATCGAACTTGTGCTAAGTGGTTACAGATAGCTCTGTAGGCTGGGTCTTTAACCCCTTGTGCCACCAGGGAGTCCCCCTTCTATTTCTTTTTTTCTAATGCAGATATTCTTTTTTATACTTTTACCAGATACACTGAATCTTCATTCAGTTTATTTTTAAATAAGTATTGTAAGATTAGCCTTATTGCTGTACCTTTGGGATCCCCATTTTGCTAATAGTGCTCTGAAATGTCATTTGGAATGCATTGTCTCTTCCCCAGTGCCTATCCAAACTCCTTTTACTTTTTCCTGCATGTATTATACA